TATATACATGTTTGAGTTATATTATTTTTGTACATAATAAATATATGCTATGTTAAAAATATAAACTTATTTAATTTCGATAATTTTAATACTTTTGGTTTGGTATTAATATTGCAAAGTTTCATACCAAAAATTTTCAGTAATTACCAGTACTGATACTGAAAAATATTTTTTATGAAATACCGTACCGAATGGTACCGATCGGAACCTTACTAGTGACACATTCTAAGGATCAATAATAATAGATAATTGAAATAACTGGGATTAATCTCTATAATAATATTTTATACTATACTACTCTCTACAATATGGACTTAGTAGATTAGATGGGTTTAAACTAGTAGTAAGATTTTCTTCCTTGCAGAAAGTTCCATCTGACATATGAGCACATCTTTGGATGTTTAAATAAATACATAATTGGATATAAGTGGTTGGCATAACTAGTCTTATAGCAATATATGTACTAATGCAATGTTAATCTGCAGATTAGCTATAGAAACATAATGGATATCCATGTACCACTGATTTCTGGTTAATTTGTAAAGACACTTGGTATTTGTCTGGATATATAAATGTATCAATAAAGATTACATGCCTTGTATATGTTTCACTTTAAAAAAAACAAAAAAACAAAATTTAAATTAGATTAAATGATTTAAAATCAATAAGATTTTTATCTCAAAAGATTTTGCTTAGTGATTAAAATTGCCATAATTGGGTAAATCTAAGTACATCAGTATCTTTTTATTTTTTCAAAAAAAAATTCCTTCTCTATAATAAAAACAAATAAATATTTGGGTATACTACTGTATAATGTACTACAAAATTTATCGCAAGACTCATTTCATGTGATCAATTTACCGCATATAGCATTTTTAGTCATTCACGCATTGCGTCAATGAACAGCTTTGGATCTTGTCGTTGACGTTCGCCAGCGATAAACTTACCAGTATAATGTCTTTGAAGCAAATTGTACGATCTCGGAATTCTTTACTGCTATTGAGGTTATTTGTTGTTCGAAATAGTTCTCGTATTCCCATTTCTAAAAGTCGACAATTTTCCTCTTCATTTATGCCATTATCCTTTCCTCACTTGCCGCGCGAATCTTTTAATATTTCGCCCTTCTCGGTACAAATTAAGGAGGATAATGGCTTGCCTTCAGAACCTCTCACCTTCCAAGGTCGAGAATTACCGGATTTCCTGATAAAAATTAACTCACCCGTCGGAAAAGAAATATTTAAGGAATCACTGAATCAGGGTTATGCCGAAGGTTACTTTAACCTTTCCAGTTGTTTTTCCCATCAGATGGAACCTTCATATTGCGGCTTAAGCTCTTTGTCAGTGGTTCTTAATGCATTACAGGTCAAAGACGCGCCAGTGTGGAAAGGTCCTTGGCGATGGTGGTCTGATGAACTCTTGAGTTGTTGTTCTCCCATAGAGGAAGTTAAGAAAAACGGTACCACTTTTGCTCAGTTCGCGTGTTTGGCGAAATGTCATTGCGATGTGGTTGTTAAGCGTGCTGATCACATCACAAAGGAAGAATTTATTGAAGATTTAAAAAAAGTTTGCTCTAGTTCAGAGAATTTTATGGTCATCTCGTTTTCTAGAAATTCATTAAAACAAACCGGAGATGGTCATTTCTCTCCTATCGGAGCATATAATCCCGAGAGGAATATGGCACTTGTGCTTGACGTTGCAAGGTACAAATGTTTGATAGTGGGTTAATAAGAGTTCACTGTTCTAAAAAGGATTCTTATGTGTAGGTTCAAGTATCCACCGTACTTTGCATCAGTAGATTTACTATTTGATGCCATGCAACCCCTGGATAAAGTAACCAATTTACCCCGTGGATACTTTCTTCTGTCGTCCAATCCTCACCACAAAGCGATTCCCCTGTGTAAACTTTCACAAGAAAAGGATGGTAATAATGTGATGGTTAATTGGACGACACTTGGTAAAACTTTTTGCCAGGATATTCCAAGGCAATTACAAACAGAACGTCCAAAAACTCTAGAAGAAGTAGCAAAGATCGTGTTAGACAATCCATCACTGAGGTCACTGGAACGCGTTAGATCGGTGGATGCTAATACTTCAACAGGGAATTCGGAATCAGAGCATCTTAATAAACTTGTAAACGACATCTCGAAATCGCCATTATACCCAATCGTCTATTCCATCTATCGTCAATCCATTCAACCAAAAGAGCTAGAGAATCTCGTAGATCATAAAGCAGCATTTGCTACATTGTTTCTACTTTCTTCGCCGTCAACGATGTTTTCAGGTCTGGAACCAGCGTTGGCAAAGAAACTAGAGTCATATCAGGATCGCGTAGATATGTCACTAATATTAAAACAAGAGGTGGAAAGGATGAACGAAGAAATAAAAGATTTGGTCGTGAATTTCTGTAATTGCGGCTCTAATCCGCTGTTAGATCTTGGAGGAACGCACAATAAAACATGTGGCACTTGTTCTTAAAAGTAGAACGCAAGAGGTTATATTGTATTTAATAGAATTTAAAAATTTACTATAAAGTATTTCGGGTCTAATAAATTCCTTCATGTAGAAATAACTCAGAGTTCAATAATAAAACTTTCAACATCAATTCTAATCATGGTGTACAGATTCAACTCTAACTAATCCAAATGAGCCACCTGAAGCCAGCCACGTACCAGCGCTAATGTTCGGATTCCATGTCAGCTAAAAATAGAAAATATATGTATATGTTAATATTAGTTGATTGGGTATACAGAAAGGTTGATACACATTACCCGTTGTATAGAAACTTCGGGACGGTAAAAATGACCAAATGATTCGGGGACATGATAGGTGATTGTGGTTTCCTAGGTTGTTAATATTTAAATAAATGATAAGTGTCAAGGTATTTTTTTTATTTTTCTATTTGGTTCCCTCGAAGAATAAATAATTTACCTTTGATTTGATGTTATGTTGATAGCAAATTGTAACTTTATCTTCATCAAAATACATACGATATAATGTTACTTGAATTGGTTTCTGTAAACATTTTAAGGAGCGATGTTGGTAAGCTGAGTGAGGTCGAGGAAGTTATAATTCATGGGAAGATTTTCAAACCTGATGTCTATCTCTCAATCGACAAATATTTGCTATTTTCACCGATCCATCCGCCGAACAGCTTGCCATGAACGGGTGATAATATGAAGCTGCAATTCTCTTAAGAATACAATTAATCAAGTCACTAGGACGATGATTTTCCTGTGAATGATCTGCGTCTGATCACGTACCCAAACATTCGCATGATGCATGATCAGTCCAGTAGTTTTTTTCAAGTCTTCCATACGAATATATCGTACAGTATTATCAGAATCTGCATATGCGATGCCACCATAATGACATGGCCAACATGCAGACATCATAAATGCTAATAATATATTATATATACAAAGGTTACAGAATATAAAAAGCTGATGTGATGCTTAAATTATCCTGTGAGCATACCTCGAATTCTTTGAAACATATTCTTAAACATTGGGTCCCGATCATCAATAATCTGCAGTCGACCATCATGACCGCAGCTTAGCGTGTGACTAGGGTTCACTGGTGAGTTCCACACGATCTGACGGATGCATGAATCGTGCGCTCTAAAATAGTTGATTGGGTTGGTCAATTGTATTGTGAAAGGATAAAATTCTTTTGAGGAATTAGACACAAGATTCAGTGAAAGTAACTTTAAATGAAATGACGCGTGTAAAGTCAGAAAATATGAAAATTCAAATCGTGAAATTGACAAACCTTCTAAATTATTAAATACATCATTGGTAAATTTTTGCGTTAAAATCTCGAATATGTTCCATGTCGCGATGTCACCTGATTATGCAAGAAATAATGAAAATAAAAATATATGATTCTGATCTCAAATAAATAAACATGTAAAGTGACACATCACATCTACCGTTAGTACATCCGGTAGAAATCTTTGTGTGTCCGCCCCAACTAACAGTCCAACACATTCCTTGTGGTAAGGAAAGTTCATAGATTGGTTCTTTAAACTTCACTGTTTTTTTATTTTATTTTGAAAGGTAAATAGTCAAATCTTTGAATGAAGGCAATTTAATAGTACTTTCATTATACAAATAATCTGTATTATACCAAAAATAGGATCCGCTAAATCTGAACGTATCCCAAAATGTCTTCTTACTGAATCAGGTTTAGGTATGGCAAACAATCCAATTGATCCATTTCCAAAGCACACAGCAAGAATCCCTAATTTTGGGATGCTGATTTTCTGTCCCTGAACTTGATCTTCGTCCGTTGTGACCTAAAATATAAAATTTCCAAAGTCAATCCTGCAACCACTCAATTAATTATTCTTTGTTAAGTTTACCTACCAGGTCTTCATCGTCGTTTGCGCCATACGGACACCACTGCATATCAAACACGCAACCATAATCATGACATATGATCATATCCAGTCTAGGCTCAGCGTATCCACCTGTACTAAAATCATCAATTCTGCAATCTGTCTTCCATAATTGTATCGAATTACTCATATCAGATTTTTGTTTACGTCCAATGGGGTGATGTTCGTTGACATTGGATTTGTAACCTGCTATGGCCAGATATTGATCATCTTTACGAATGTTTGAGATGTCAAGATTTTGAAAACGTGAATTCGAAAATCCGGTGTGTTATTCTTAAAAAAAGGAAATGAAATTAAAGTTTACTTTCTGAAGATACACGTGGAACCCATTCTAATGCCCATACCGATATACCGACATTCAAGATGTAGCCCACTTTCTCGGTTACTTTTGCATCTTCAAGTTTAATAAGCAAACATGAGTTGAATTTACAGGAGGGTTAATTCAGTTGATGATGAATAACATACGAATTGGATATGATGTGTATTGCGAAACTTGGAATGGTTCCTTGTTGAACAGCATAATGGTAGCTGGATCCCGTGGAGGTGGGAGAAATGCCCTTCCGTCCCTAGTCATTCGTGAACAATAACACTATCAATATATCTCTATCCAAAGACTATTTTGGTTAAACTACCTATAACCAAAAAATTCATACTTTTCGTTCAATAGTTTAATATCATGCGGACTCAATTTAACAAATTCATAAACTTTTTTGGGTAACTCGTCCATATTTATCCCGACGTGCTGTAGTAATTCGACTTTTGGCGCCAAAACCACATCTTCCCATTCATCTTTGAACACCTCATTGTCACCGCGATTGTTGAATACTTGTTTTCTTTTGGGCATTTCCGAAGGCTTTTTCACACAGCTGATCGACACAAAATAGTGACGCGTTAATAAATTTACGGTATTAAATATTAAAATTTATAAATAATTAGATTAAAGTTTTTAAATACATTTTAATTCAAGTATATGTAATTTTTGAATATTAATTTTAAATTATAAAATATTTATTATAATTATTGCTTCTAATCAAACCATTAGAAATATATTTATTATTCTTTTCAAATAACAATATCATAATAAAATTTTATAAAAAATATTAAATCATTAACCATTATTATATGATATTATCTAAAAATTTTTTGTATTTGTATT